TTATTATATATATATATATATATATATATATATATATATATATATATATATATTAGTAATTTATGGAATAAAAAAATTTTTCCAGGGTAAATATTTGGAAAACAGTTGATTTTGTCAACCATAGAAATTTATTCCATAGATTTTATTAGCTACATTGGGACGATTGAAATGAAATCAGTTTAATTCGTTGTTGGTACGGAATTTCAATCGAGGCTTGTTTTCAGCTATATTCGTTAAATAGAATTTATGAAATAAAGCTTTTTTTTTAGTCTAAGAAAAAGGAAAAAAAAATTAGAAAATCGGAAATTATTAAACTGGACCAATATTATTAAATTTACCACACTGGCTGAAACTTTATAGTCGCAGTCATAGATTGGATTACTGAATTGCTAAATGTGTAGGCATAAATAAAGGGTGCATCAAATAAAATATTGAATAGAAGTGCAGAGACTGCAGTGCACTTGGAGGACTAAGCTTACAGTATCTAGTTTGCTAAAAAACGATAAAAAAAATACAGGTCCTCCTGAAAATATATATGTTTCCAATAGATAGTAATGCCTGCTATCATTGTTACTGCAAAAAAAAAGGGTTGTTCTTAATGATAAAAGATAAATATCATATATTTTCGTGTGATTCCAAACAATTCAAAAAGGGTCTCAAAATATAATTCGCCCTTACTGAATATAATAAGTGGTCACTATTAAACTTATATATACAAAAAAAAAAAAAAGGAAAAACCAAATTGTGAGTAGTCAAGGTGTGATGATGGTGTCGCATTTTTCAGCTCTAATTGTATGATGAAATCTATGCCATTCACTTCAAATCTTGTCAGCTTTCTGCAAATTTCATTGAAATTTTATTTCATAAAATGGATTTTATTCCTTTACGTTTGTTAAAGTTATTTTTCGGGATGATCTTTGCTTTTGTTTGTTAATGGGATATTCGTTCTGAATGACTTTCCCGTAGGTGAGAAATGATCTTTGAATAAGTCAATCTACATGAGGCATTTGTATTAGTCATCACTTCAAATAACTTTGCCAAAGAAAACCACTGTTGTAATTATTGCATGTTTTTAAATCAACTATTAAGTCTTGTTTTTGGAATAATCTTAATAAACATATGCCAGTATGTGATTAGGAAGCATCATAACTCTCTGATTTTTGTTGCAACGCTTTTTCACTAATGATATGCGAATAGTTCGGTGAGATTATTGAAAAAGATATTATAATTGTTCATTTGTTAAGCAATTTTTGCTAATTTATCTCAAGTTCTTCAGACTGGAAAAGTTCCAGTTTTTAGAATTTTCTTGAACTGATATAATCCTTTTTCTTACCACTCGGTGACCAGCTACATTCTATTTCTATACTGTATGAATAAATGTGGGGAGATGAGGTGTTTAATATGACTTGAAAAATGTATTAGAAAGGTTGATTCATCCAAAATGCAGATGTTGTAGCGAAGGGGTGTTTTGTGCATGTGGAAAAAAAGGGGAAGGGAAGTTATCTAATGCAGAAAGACACAAAATCAGTGCTAATTTGATCTGTTCCGGTGCTCGTGTTGGTGTATGAGAATTAAAAAGGCAACTGATGAAGGCATAAAAGTTGATAAAGTTCTTCATGTTTTCTTTTTATACTTTTTATATCGCTTAGTAGAATTATGTTTTCATATGTCTTAAGTTCTTAGCCAAAATTCGAGAGGTATCATATAAAGTGTAGTTCTCTGAATTATATATTCTGTGAATCCGTCCTTACATTTTCAATCTACAAGAAGGGCAAAAAAATATCTATACTTTCTGAAACGTCCTTTGCAAACATCTGTCAGATTTTGCATTCTTACGCATTCATAGTGTTTCAAGAATATAAGTCTTGTAGATATGACCCGTTAATTTTTTAATAGTTTTTAAGTCATGTAATCGTTTTTGGGATGCAAAAATTGGTTTACGAATTGTTGCGTAAAATGCAGAGTATTGTGATATGCATAGGTGAAACTTGTCCAATGATAATGGGCGTGTTGACAAGAAAATATAGCAATTTCAAGGGCGACTTTTTTTATTGAAAACCGTTTAGTGCGTTTTGAGCTTCTGTGACTTGCCTTGTTAAATGTTAATGTCAAACGTTGCTGCTTGGAAATGTATACCATGGGGTTTTCAAGTTTGAAGTTTGCTACATTACAATACTGCTGGAAAACCCAACTTTGGAGACAAATAAAATCTAAATGAACTATAAAATCAAAAAGGTTTCACTTTTACATTGGGTGATGTTATGACCTGGACTTTTTAATGTGCTGTGACCTGGAATTGGTAAGATGTCCTGCTATGTTTACGAAGTTATAGACTCACCGCTTACATCAGTTTGCCCTTTTATTTGTATTTTTTCAATTGACAGGTACCATGGCGACGCGTTCAGCAACAGTGAGATATTCCTATAAAGCAGCACATGAGGATGAACTTGATCTGGAAGTAGATGATGTAATTGATGTTCTAGAAGAAGCAGAAACGGGATGGATGAAAGGGAAATTAAGGAATACGGGTCGAATTGGATTATTCCCTACTAATTTCGTTCATTTCCTTGGTAATCTTACTATTAACTCTATCACTTGTATATATAAGCTATTAAAACTTGTTTTTTAAGAGGATAAAATTAAATTTCAGCTTTATTTGTTTCGAGGTAAGTGTCTTCCAAAGTACTTTATCCGTTTACCAAAAAAATTACGATCACTTTATTTGGGCTTATCGTCGGACAATTCCAAGTGGTTGATTTTTTTCTACACTTTTTTGGAAATTATTCAATATGTTTATGGAGATTTTAAATAATTACTTCAGCAACTGTCGCTTACGTCGTCTTAAAGTGATATGGCTGATTGTGCCGTATATATATTTATTTATTTATTCATTTTTTAAAATTTATATTTATATATATATATATATATATATATATATGTAAATGTGGCACCTATTACAAATGCAGGACTCATTTTTCAAATGGTTAGTTCGGTTATGTGACGACGTGAAGTGTAGAAACGGTTATGGTTGACCTCCAAAAAACTACAACGAAAATTATTTTTTGCATGCAATTTCTTATTCTCTGTATGTTTTATTTGGTTTCCAAAAATCTACCTTGTTTAGATAAAACTACGGGTAATAGTGATGTTTTGAAATCAAATGATGCTAAGAAGAATTTTCCGGATGGTATTGTTTCGGGTGAGTAATTTTATCCTTTTCTATTCCCAGAGAATTATCAAGGTTAAATTAGACAGTGTGTAATTAGATGTTAGTTCGTTATTCTAGCAAAAGATAGTTATATGCTAAGTTTTGTTCGGCTAATTATATGGATTGGAAATAGCATGCTGTTAAATGTTATGAGATTGAACTAGTGTGTTAATGTCATGGTAGAACGTGACGTTTGTAGCGCTTATTACATGCCCCAACCAGTTTAGGTTCTTAATCTGTCCGACTTTTAGTTGGAAGTTAAAACCTAATGTTTTACTAGACATGAATCTTAGTTGTCGGTATTGTTACCTTATCTTAACGATCATTATCATTATGTTGTATAATGATCATTATGTTACGAAAGTAGCCGAAAACTTCCATTTTGAAATGTCTTTTCTGATTTTTTCATAATCTTATGATCGTGTGATAAAGAATATCGCAGCATATCAAGGGAGAAAGATTAGACGTTAGAATTAATGAAAAGCGGTCATGCTTGGCCTTTCTAATCTCACTAAAAGATCGGATCATAGAAAAACTGGTAACGGATAGTTAGATGAAATACTTTTATTGTTATTTACCTTATACTTTCATTATAACTTGATATCGTCAAACGTTTCAAAATACGAGTGTCCAGCTTTGAACCCAGTTTTAAATTTATTCATTCTAGTCTGAAATCAATGAATGGCTAGCATCAAGTCAGTAATAATAGAATTACTAAAAATTTCAACAGTTGTTATCATTATTTCTTTTCTCTTCTTAATTACGATATCAAATTTTTAGGTGATCTATTACCCGAAATGCCCGCCTCACGATTATCTCTAATAAGTGATCCGTCGGAGAATCGCCTAAATTACCACATACCTGATGCCACAACTTTAGGAAAAAAAGCGAATTCACGAGGTTTTGACTTTTATGCGTTTGATTGGTAAAAGTAGTTTCAGTTCTGAAAGAACATATCGTTTTTCATGGTAGGATGATGAATTAAAACTTTTTCACACTTATGGATTCTGTTGAAAATTCCAGAATATCTTTATATCCATTTGTGCACAAAAATCTTAATTCTTTTCATTACTTACATTTTATGCATAGGCAATTTTATGTTTTTAAAAGTTTTAGTGTTAAGTTGGAAATAAGAGAGGGGAAATCGTAGACTTTGTCATCTCATTGGACATCTTTTTTGAAATTAGTACCGTCTTTCTTATGCGCGTTCAGAATGTAATGCTAGTATTAAAAGATGTTTTTATTAGCCAAAAGACATAGAAATTTTGAAATTTTTTAAATGGTAGAGATAAGTAGTAACAACTGTTGAGGGGCACGTGGTATATATCATTTGTGTTGCTATGATTTCCAGTGCAAGCAGCTGAGTTTGTTGGAGGTTTGCCTCTACCACTGATTGGACAAAAACGAAACTTTCTGGATTCCTGTTTCTTTGGCTACTACTTTTAATAGACTATAAGAATTTCTAAATTCCTGGATTTCAGCTGTTCCAGTCTTTTCTGACAAGATTGCAGTAGCATAATCACTAGTTGAAATAATTGGACAACATAGATATTTGTACTCATACGGAATGACTGGATGACCGTTATGATTCTTGCTATTTATGGTAATTGCCATTAAATTTAGATCACCAGTTTCTTAATTTTTAACTTTTTTAGCACGAGTTCTATTCACCTATTCGCCGAAACATGAAGATGAGCTTGCGCTTCGTGAAGTAGGTCAAATAGTTGGAATTGTAAGTAAATCCACTGAGGATCCTGGCTGGTTACTAGCTGAAGTTGATGGCAGACAGGGATTGATTCCAGATAATTTCGTTGAGATTCTAAGGCCTTCAATTCCCACCAGTACTATAAATTCAGAAACCCACAAGGTAAGTTTTCAAAATTTTTTTTTTTGAGAGAGAGGTGGAGGGGAGACTAGAGAGGAGAAGCGGAGGGGAATTTTAGTCAGTTAAGTTGGGTGATTCAAATAATCATTCTTTTTAATCTTGATTCAGATTCATTTTGAAAAAGTTAAATCTTTACGAAACGAATTACAACCTTTCAGACTTGGGCTATGAGAAAATCCTGTCCTTTCAACTTTCAAAATTTTTAAAAAAAGGATTTGAAGTCTAAAATAGTGAACATAATTCAGATGCCTTTACCTCCAAATGTGCCAGCGAAACCAGTATCAAAGCCCGTAGTCTTATCATCCGGTGCTGGTCGTCGTACTACAACTTCCTCGGTATTCGCTCAAATGCATTCCAGCCTTGCCGATGCTTTCACGAAACCACCGAAACAGTTCACTGCTAGGGTATTTGTTTTGAGAATTTGAATAGCGTATGAATGACTCACTCCAACAAAAAGTGCAAAATCGAGATAGTGTTAAAGGAGTAGCTGATCTTCAGTGACTGATAAGTAACAATAAACTCCAGACTGAAAGGAGACTCGGCTTTCTTTTGCTTTTTCATACTGTAATATTTTAATGATATGAATGGTTGATTGTTAAAAATAGACTGAAATACGATGTCCTTGTGCTGATGTTGTTTATCTTTTTTTACTAGCCAGCGATTCCTGTTACCATTTGCTGGTTCCAATATGGTTTGAAGTACTTATCTCTTTGATACTTTTCTTTTCTGGATTCCTAATCGGATCACATCGTAATAGTGAAACAAGTTTCTTTGTTGAAATAATTCTTGCAAGTAATAAAAGAAATGTCTATGAAAGTACATTTTTTTTTAGGCTGTGAAAACGGAAGAAAGCTCGGCCGGCGAAGGACAGCCAGGTGATCGTTTATCTCACATAACTGCAACTCGGCCCAAACAACCGAACAAAAGACCTCCGTCTACTGTTTTCAGAACGGTTAGGAATTGGTTTTGTTTCTGAAAATAACATTTCATTCTCGCAGGTCTTATTAGCACATTGCAAAATCAGTGTAATAATTTTCTTTAACTTTTTATTTGATTTGGTTCTTTTTTCTTTTTTTTTTTTTTATTTGTTTTTCTTTG